GGCGCACGAGGGCGCTACGAGGCTAGGGAACGGGGTAGCGTGGTAACCGCATGCGAGCGGTGGTGGGCCCTAAAAACGATCGGTAGGTCCTAGGGACCTCCTGCTCTGATACCATGTCAGAATCCCAGCCACTAACCACTGGGATAAAAGGGCTTGTTTGTGTAGCGGGTGAGTGCGCCCATAACCCCCCAGGCCGCCATACCTGTAACCCTTCCCTAGGATCAATCGGGGATCACCAGTGGACCTTTGACAGTCCCACTGTCACCCGTCTCCTCGCTACTGTTGTCACTGACCCTGCCTTTGAGTCCTCTGCTGCGTCTGCTCTAGTCGCTGAGTTGATCGACTTTGCTGCCCGGTGTCGTCTAGACTACGCCACTAGCCTTGTTGCTGAGTTTGAGTCTGAGTCTGTCTGTCCTCCGTCCGTCGGGGGTGAGTGTGCTCTTGGCACGGACGTCCTTGAGGACAGACAGGAGGAGTTCCAGTGCTTTGCTGCTGCTTTACCCCACCTCGTGTCCATGCTAGTTGCCCCTGAGGGAGACCCGGATGCACCAGACATCCCGACCCCGCGCACTTACGCTGAGGCGATGGCGGGTCCCTACTCCTCTCAGTGGGAGACAGCCATGGACGCAGAGATGGCTTCCTGGAAGTCCACACGCACCTACGTTGACGAGGTTCCCCCACCTGGGGCGAACATCGTCAGTGGCATGTGGATTTTCAGGGTGAAGCGGCCGTCGGGTTCTCCTCCTGTCTTCAAGGCGCGCTACGTGGCTCGAGGCTTCAGTCAGCGAGAAGGAGTTGACTTCTTTCAGACCTTCTCCCCCACCCCGAAGATGACCACTCTTCGGGTGCTGCTGCACATAGCCGCTCAGCGCGACTACGAGCTTCACTCACTTGACTTCAGCACTGCTTTCTTGCAGGGCAGCCTGCACGAGGAGATCTGGCTGCGCCGCCCTCCTGGCTTCACTGGGTCGGTTCCTCCTGGTACCCAGTGGAGGCTTCAGCGGCCGGTCTACGGTCTCCGCCAGGCACCGCGTGAGTGGCACGACACACTGAGGACGACACTTGCGGCTCTTGGGTTCGCTCCCTCTACTGCTGACCCGTCACTGTTTCTACGCACAGACACCTCACTGCCGCCGTTCTACATCCTCGTGTACGTCGACGACTTGGTCTTTGCCACTGCTGACACCGCGGCACTTGCCCACGTGAAGTCGGAGCTGCAGAGGAGACACACGTGTACAGACCTGGGTGAACTGACAAGCTATCTTGGCTTGCGGATCACCCGGGACAAAGCACGGCGCACCATCACCTTGACTCAGTCACACATGGTGCAGCAGATCCTTCAGCGCTTCCGCTTCACGTACTCCTCGCCTCAGTCCACTCCTCTGCCTACCGGTCACTCGCTCTCAGCTCTGCCTTCGGATGAGTCCGTAGAGCCGAGTGGCCCGTATCCAGAGCTTGTGGGCTGCCTCATGTACCTGATGACCTGCACTCGACCTGACCTTGCATACCCTCTTAGCATCCTTGCACGCTATGTCGCTCCTGGCCGTCACAGGAAGGAGCACATGGATGCCGCTAAGAGGGTGTTGCGCTACTTGTGCAGTACGTCGGGCATGGGGCTAGTGCTTGGAGGGCGAGACCGAGTTGTACTTACTGGACACTCAGACGCTTCTTGGGCGGACGACCAGGCTACTCAGCGGTCGTCTCAGGGTTACACCTTCAGCCTTGGCTCCGGCTCAGTTTCTTGGCGTTCTACACGCTCTTCTTCTGTTCTCAGCTCCAGTTGTGAGGCTGAGATCTACGCCACAGCCATGGCTGCCCAGGAGCTTCGCTGGCTGACCTACCTGCTGACCGACTTGGGTGAGCGGCCTCGTTCTCCTCCAGTGCTGTACGTCGACAACCAGGCTGCCATTGCCTTGTGTGAGGAGCACAGACTGGAGCACAGAACGAAGCACATCGCCCTGCGGTACTTCCTTGCTCGAGAGCTGCAGCAGCGCGGTCAGCTTTGTCTGCGTTACGTGGCCACTGAGGCCAACCTTGCTGATGTGTTCACCAAGGCGCTTCCGCCTTGTGACCATCAGCGCTTCTGCACTCTGCTAGGCCTTGTGCCTACTGGACCTCACTTACTTACCTCTTGACCTTGCTTGTACTGTGATCACTATATATATATATCTACCTGCATGTTTACTCTTGCTAGGTTGTGATCACTGTATCTCATGCTCTGTTATAAACCTGCATGTGAACTGGTCTTGTGACCACTAGCTTGTGCTCGGAATTTGTGTGGTATCCTTGAGATCCACCCTGAGCTTGTTGTTGCCTTGCTTTGCCTTGACTGGTCTTGTGACCCCTAGGTCTCCCCCACTTTGCCTATGGGGGTGTGTCAAACATTATATGTGTTGTGTTTGTGTAGGCTATAGTGGGTTAGCCTATAGGGGGGTCACAACATTAGGGTTTCATATTTGTACTCACAATCCTTTCTAGTTCACCATTCCAGTCCGTTATCACTGACATAGACTACGGACCCGTTCTTCACGACAGGAAATCACCATTAGGCCACGACGCAGAAGGGGGATTATTACCTAAAAGCCGGCACCGACAGGATTTGGGTCCCCGCTTACCGGCTGCTGCGTGAACTCCTCATCCAGGAGGTCCACGATTCGAACTTCTCCGGACACTTCGGGGTTGACAAAACCCAGAAATTACTGCACCGTCAATATTACTGGCCTGATTCTTCTAACGACGTGCAGCGTTATGTGTCCTCATGCAGGGTGTGCCAAGCAATGAAATCGACACGTCAGCGACCAGCTGGGCTGCTGCAACCCCTCGAGCCACCCGAACGACCGTGGCAACAGGTGACGATGGATTTCGTCACGGGGATGCCAGCTGGGCCGTCCGGCAACGACGCTGTTCTCGTCGTCGTCGATCGCTTCACGAAAATGGCGCACTTCGCACCATGCCGAACGACAATCACAGCCGAAGAAACTGCGCGCCTCTTCATCTTAACAGTTGTGCGACTGCACGGCATCCCTTTGGCAATCATCACCGACCGGGACCCGAAATTCACATCCAAGTTTTGGAAGGAGACATGGGCGCAGTACGGCACGAAGCTACAGTTCTCATCGGCATACCACCCACAGACGGACGGACAAACCGAGCGAACCAACCAGACGATGGAGCAGCTGATACGGACAAACTGCCCCGACCCCGCACGATGGGAAGATTCCTTCGCCATGTTGGAATTCGCCTTCAACAACGCACCGTCGAGCACGACTAATCACTCCCCGTTTTTCCTAAATTACGGGATGGATCCGACCGTCCTCACGGCGACTTCGCTCGACAACCCGGTCCCGAGGTCACAAACTTTTGTGACAGAACTCCAGCACATCCGCGAAAAAGCCGCAGACGCAATTCGCAAGGCGAATATCACTTCCCGCAAATACACCGACCTTCTACGCCGGGAACTCGTCTTGACTACTGGGCAATTAGTGCTCCTCGACACGAAGAACCTGCACCTGCCCGGTCCATCGAAGCTACGGCCCCGATTTTGCGGACCGTTCAAGATTATCAAGATGGTGACACCTGTCACCGCGAAGCTGTTGCTACCGGACGACTGGCGAATTCATGACGCCTTCCACGTCAGCCTGCTTCGCAAGTTCGTGCCAGCCACGACCGACATCGCACGTCAGCAAGCTGCCCCGACAGCTCGACCTGTCCCGGAGCAGACCCTCGAACCGTCGAAGATTCTCGCCCATCGGTTCGGCTTGACGCTGCTGGACGACACGTGGATTTCTTAATCCGCTGGACTGATCGCATCAGCGAGGACGACACGTGGGTGCCATCCGCCTCGCTCGACGCCTCGCCACTTGTTGGTGATTATTTGGCGCGCCGGCGTGTTTCGGATATTGACCGCCTTTCTTAAGGGGGGGGGTGGTGTAAGGAATTTTCTCGAATTCCTTATCGGGGTTGACTGCTGCGCGTACAACCCGATTTTCGGAGTTCGCACGTTCGGGCGATTTCCACGCTGCCGAGGCTCCCCGCGTCGCCTTCGGCATTCCCATCGCCAAACCTGCACCCAACCTCGCTCGCCCGAGGTTTCCTCCTAGCTAGGCTAGCCTACATTAGTCTTTGCATTCATTGTATTCTCAGTTCATTCAGTCACAGCCTCGATATTCGTTTACCTGCGCACTCTCTTTTATAACTCATACCGTAATCACCCGGACATAACACCCGGGGGTATTATGATAACCACAGGGAAAAAATGGGGGGGGTGCTCTCAACGGAAAATCCTATATAATACCCGGGTGGTTATATATGGCACTTTTTAGTGTAAGACAAAATTTTAATTAGACAATTTGGGTGTTTCAATAGTCGTTTTAACATCACATGTTGAGGCGAGAATTCGCGTTTTGGCGAGAATGTGAGTTTCACCTCTCGGGCCACGTGCAGCGGAAGATTCGCCAGCGTGGCGACAGCGAAATTGTGGAAGGGAGGGAATCTCGGTAGATTCGAAGTGAAAGTGCACGCGAAATTTCATTCAGGAAGCGATATTCCCGTAAAAAATCTGACTCGATAACAGCTATAATAGGGTTTCGTAAGAAAAGGGGGGTGTTATAGAGAATCATCCCAAAAAGGGGGGTATAGTACAAACGAGGTCGGCTATAGCACCCCCCCCGCACAAGCTACCCGGGGGTGTACTATTACGGGGGGGTGTTTTGTCCGGGTGATTACGGTAACACTCGCCAAACAGGTTCTTGTTTGTTTCAGGCTGTTAAAAGTTTTAAAACATGTCAACACTTGCTCAACAGATTGGTCCAACTAAATAGAACCAGATAACACATGTGACCAGTTGGTGGTAGCACAAAGCAAAATGCAGGTGATGGCTGAGGCGCTCAACAGATGGTAACAAATATGATAACATGCAACTCTTGTGCACAACTTTGTCCCTTCTTCAATAGCTCAAAGATTGACATAGTGAAGGGAATATAATGGGATCCTTTGCAGTATTATTGTGCAGGCCTTGTCTGACCTGCGCACAAAGGAACGCTGCACAGCTTTCCGGGCTGAACGAGGAGCATTCTCTTAGCCACTCTCAACGGTGACAGGCCCAAAACACACCAGCGCTGTGACCGCTGATGCCACTCCCTCTGAGCCCTCTCCTCCTGCAACCACTCCCAATCACCATCCCACTCATCCTCACCGTTCCACACTTCCTCCCCTACTCTCGTCTCCACTTCTGGTACCAACCCCACTCCCATTCCCATTAATGGCACATTTCCACCTGTCCTCTGCTGCAACTCCTGTCTATCATGCGAAATCTCTTGATCTTCTTGATCTTCTAACTCAAAGGCTCCTCCTCTACTGTACACATCGCAATCCGACCCAGTACCAGCTTTTGTTGCCATCACTCTTCGTAACACTGGTCTTGCTCGGACCTGCAACCTGTTTAGGGACGATAGTGAGTCAGGCAGACTCTGCAGGCTGTCACATCCCTCCAGGTCTAACAGCTGAAGACTCATCAGCTGCCCGAGATTCTCGGGCAGCCGTACCAAACGAAAACAATCAGTCAAAAAGATCTGCTCCAGACTGCTAAGCCGGCAGAGGAACTCCGGCAGTGCGGTGAGGGCGGCAGAACCAGACAAATTCAGCATCTTCAGTGACGTCAGCTGTGTGATGCTCACAGGAAGGGATGAGAGATGACGACAGCTCGTGACCGCCAGGCATTCGAGTGACTTCAGCGCGAACAGAGCGAGCGGCAGAGCGCGAAGAAGCGGCCAATGGGACAGCTCCAGGTGTCTCAGGGAAGAAAGCTGCCCCATGGATTCGGGCAGGTGGGCTAGGCAGGAAATCGAGGAGATCTTGAGGGTGTGGAGTTTCGGGAGCTGCCCGAAATCCGCGGGAATGGAAGCGAAACTTTTGCAGAAGCAAATCTCGAGAGTCTGGAGGCTGATGAGGTGGACAAACGAGGGCGGGAAGCCAATCAGCGACTCGCACGTGTTAATCTCCAGAGACTCAAGCCGGCTAAGGAATCCTATATCATCAGGGAGGCTGACTATCCGCGGGCAGTCTTTAATACTCAACAGCTGGAGCCGCGTTAGCTGATAGACCGACGAGGGTAAGTCAGTTAGCCTCTTGCATCCGTGGAGACGCAGCGCTTCTAGATTTGGCAGCTGCCCGAGAGATTCCGGCACCGTTTCTAGACTAAACACGCTGTGCAGCTGCAGGGACTGTAAAGAAGTGAGCTGCCCGAGATTCGCGGGCAGCCGGCTGATTCGCATGCAGTAAGTGACGGAGAGGAAGGAGAGCGCGGGCAGGTTGCATAGAGAATCGGGCAGCTGCGATAGCCCGCAGTCAGTTACGTGCAGCCGCGTCAGCCGTGATAGCTGCCCGAGAGTCTCGGGCAGCGATCGCAACGCGCTGCAGCCAATCTGAAGGTCACGCAGGTTTGTCAGCATCCCAAGGCTATCTGGCAGCGCAGTCAGGCTCGGAGCCTGCAGCTTCGGAAACTGGAGGCTCGGCGGCGCGCTAGCGTCGTTCGGAATGCTCCATTTGTAAACCGAATCGGCATCCAACGGTCCCCCGCCGATCCGCGCGAGCTCGAGAAACGACGCTGGTCGAAGGGAGAGGTTCGGCGCGCAGTGCAGGCCGAACTCTTCCAGCCGCGGGCAGGCGCGAAACAGTCTATCCAAACCCGCTACTGTGATTTCGGAGTAGAGAGCTGTTTCGATCGTGGACTCTGGCATTGCGGCTTCCGCTTCGTCCGCCGTTACTTCCGCTTCTTGCAGTGCGTCAGCACCGTCCGAATGGCGAAGTTCGCCGGAGCCGCCTTGAATTGCTGAAGGGCGCACCGTTCCGAAGCGGAAGGAAGCGAGAGTCGCGCCGCAAGACGCGGCGATTCGGTCGAGGAGATCGTCGCCCACGCTGTCGACGCTGCAGTTGGGGAGATGGATGCGCGACAGGTTGCGAAACTGCGTGATGGCGTTCGCGAGCTGTCGGGAGGACGCTTCGCGGGTTTCGCGAACGACGAGGGTGGTTTGAGCGGGACGCGCGATTTCGAGCCATCGCTTGCAGGTAATCGCGTGGGAGAAGGTGTCGCCGCGCGAACCTATGCGAGCGAAGATCATGCGAAGGATGTCGTCTGGGAGACGCGGTAATGGCGGAAGAGGATCCTTAGTCGACATGGTGACGACGATTGCACGACTATCTAGCAGTATATAAATAATCCAGGAAGAGTGAGCGCGACTGTCTGATTATGTTATCGAGTGACGAAACAAAAGTACGGGGCGAGCAGGGGGTACAAATGGAAGGGGAGGAGTAAGTGTCGAAGAGTTTTCATTCTCTATTTCGTGGATGCTCGCCCTGTGCTTCACGTATCTCACTACATGCTGCTGTGCTGCTGTGATAAGAAAATGGGGCGATTTGTTGGGTGGAGGGGGGGTGTTCGTATTTGCAAGGGAGGAACAGAACAGAGTGCACGCGCCGCATGCGATGGTCTGCGATGTACTGTAGTTGTACAAATGGACAGCTGTTATGTCTTGTAGCTGATGGTTACAACAATTTTAAACCGTTAGATTGGTTTTCTGGACAGTTGAGATCACACGGCACTCCCTTGGCCTTTGAACCCCAGGCCTGCCTCAGCAAAATGGCAACTAACCACTGCCACGTCAAGCAAACTGCCAAACCTCGGTTGTCCTTGCATTTGCGATGCGATGCGACGCAATGCGATCAGTCCCATGGCAGCATCTTATAGCTGCAATCTGGCTCGCCATGTCGCAAGCTGGAGAACAAAGTCGCCGAGTCGCCAGGGGCAACATGCGACAGCTTGTTTGGCGGTGGTTTATTGTTGACACTCCTATAACGAGCGGCAATTACGGAAACACTCGCGACTCGTGTAAACCTCGGTTGGCAAGCAATGGCTGTCTTGCTACCCACACAACATAACGACTTATTTTGTTATACACTTGCACTTCTCTAAACGCGGCTTGCAATCAAGCACCACCCAGTTGCAAATGCTTACAGTCACACCGATAGAGGAACATTCGTAGCAGTAATAAGTGCCGAAAAGCCCATTGACCGGAACTCGTGCTCATAGACGAAATATATAACTAGCAATGCATTTTGAAGTTACAATGTTTCCTAATGAAGCGTCGTACGGCGGGAATATACGTGAACATGGATTCCCCGCACGCAACACCCAAAGGGTTTATGTTTGCTTCATTCATCCATGCCCTCCCGCACAACCCCCAGCGAGTACCAGCTGGAATTTTGACAGTAAGGTCTAGAGAGACTAGAGGCAGAGATTCTTAGTTTCTAGACTCTAATCTGTAGGCCTGAAGACCCAACGGTTGTGCTTTTCGTCTTTTAACTCCTCCCGTATTCACCAGACGCGCAATCCATAGCGGAATATCCTAGACCTTGCGTGTCCGTAGCGCGGTTTCGATGGCGTCAATGGAGCCGGACGTTTCAGCGCCGGCCGGCATGTTTACCGTCCAGCAGACGCCGTCCACCGTGCTGTGCTGCCTGTGCGGCACGGCCATGCCGCCCAACCCGACCGGCATGTGCCCCGGCTGCATCCGCACGCACGTTGACATCACCGAGGGCCTCCCGCGCCGCCTGTCGGTGATGCGCTGCCCGCCGCCGTGCGGACGGTTCCTCGCGCCGCCGCGCGCGTGGATCCGTGCGGAGCTCGAATCGAAGGAGCTCCTCACGTTCTGCCTCAAGGTGTGTGCTGTGCTTACTTCCTACGGATCCACAGAAATACTCCCATTTCTCGTAACGCGCGCCGTTTCTCCGATTCGCGCATGAATTCGCGTGTTATATAGTATAGATGAATTCGCTCATGAGGTTTCCGCGGGCATGGATGTGCATCCGCGTTAGGCGTCAGTGGATGCGCAGTTGCTCACACAAGCGAGCTCCTTCTCTCAGCCCTTGCGCTTTTTTAAAGCTCCCAAAAAATTAGTGGATTCGCCAACATGAGCAGTTACTCACCCAAACCGCGATGGAAAACCGATTCCTCCTAGTCTCGCTGTCGCCCAATCGCGTACCTGCTCCCGTTTACCACGCGCGCAGGCGGGACGCAGGGCCAATCGATTATCGTGGACGTGTTTAGCTGCCGAAACCCCTCTAAAACCCTGCTTTGCCCTTTTGCCCATTTGCTCTCGTGGGCGTACCACGTCTCTTACCCAACGGTGGCACTGTGTAAGCGCATGGAAAATGCTAGCAAGGCGAAGTGGTGGACACATTTACTTGCCAAACCTTTTCCTTAACCCCCTGTGTTTTGCTGCTCCTTCCCTCCTCCCACTGCGTGCCATGTGTGTGGTTACCATGTTGCTGCGTTACCCCGTGTCACTGTAACAGCGCATGAAGAATCTCAACAAGGTGTGAAGCTGGTGGACGCCTCCTTCATCTGGACCGAGCTTATTCTCTCCCTTTTTTCCCCCTGACTGCGTACTCTGTGTGTGTGTGTGTGTGTGTGTGTGTGTGTGTGTGTGTGTGTGTGTGTGTGTGTGTGTGTGTGTGTGTGTGTGTGTGTGTGTGTGTGTGTGTGTGTGTGTGTGTTACCATGTTACCTGGCCGCGACATCAGCGCATGAAGAATCTCAACAAGGTGAAGCTGGTGGACGCGTCCTTCATCTGGACTGAGCCACACTCCAAGCGAATCAAAATCAAGGTACGACTTTCACCAGTTGAGTCTCGAGTCTCGACTGTTGAACCTTTGAGGCGCCCCACAAGTAGCCTCCTTCATCTGGACCGAGCTGAGCCGCACTCCAAGAGAATAAAAGTCAAGGTACTGCTTATGTCCGCTGAACCTCTACTGTTACGCTTGAGGCGCCTCAAAAGTTGCCCTTTTTCATCTGGACCGAGCCTCACAGAAGGAAGTTGCCAGTGGTGCGGTGCTGCAGCAAACCTTCGTGAAAGGGTATGTGGCGGAGGATCACATGTGTGACGCATGCACACGGTCAGCAGCCAACCCTCCCATGCCCTGACCCCATATGTTAAACTTATCCCTGTACACTCCGCCCTTGCTTCTTCCAGGTGACGATACAGAAGGAAGTTCTGAGCGGAGCAGTGCTGCAACAGACGCTTGTGACGGAATACGTGGTGGAGGATCACATGTGCGATGCATGCACGCGGTCAGCAGCCAACCCCGACCAGATTATGGCTTAAGATCGTGAACCTTGACATTTCCTACCCGTATTGTGTTGCAACCAGGTGACCATTCAAAAAGAGGTTCTGTCGGGGGCGGTGCTGCAACAAACCTTTGTGACGGAATACGTGGTGGAGGATCACATGTGCGACGCATGCACGCGGTCAGCAGCCAACCCCGACCAGTGGGTGGCGGTGGTGCAGCTAAGGCAGAAGGCGGAGCACAAGCGCACGTTTCTGTTCCTGGAGCAGCTTATACTGAAGCATGGCGCTGATGCCAACACCATCAATATCCGCCAGGTGGGTTTTTTTCCTTCGCCAACACCAGTAACAGGGGGGGTTGCCTTGCAGTGAGTGAGGTGACTTGTGAGTCAGAGCCAATGGGTAGAGGGCGATATGCAGAAAGCATACACACCACACGGTTGGTTGGTCAGCAGCAGCCAACCCCGACCAGTGGGTGGCGGTGGTGCAGCTAAGGCAGAAGGCGGAGCACAAGCGCACGTTTCTGCTCCTGGAGCAGCTTATATTGAAGCACGGTGCTGATGCCAATACCATCAACATCCGCCAGGTGGGTTTTTTGACTTAGCCAACACCATGAACAGGTGAGACTTGAGGAGTTGGGATAGGTACAATCAGGTGCATGTAATCCCAAACACGTGTTTCACAAGTGTCGTTTTAAACGTGGCAACCCCAAACGCGTGCCCTGTGCACTGTGGTTGGGTGACTTTTGAGGCGCCTCAAAACGCGTGCTCTGTGCACTGTGGTTGGGGGAGCTTCCCCTGAATGCCATCTCATCAGCAGTGGCGTCGCGTGCCAGCTCAGCTCCAGCGAGGATTTAGGAGAAGGGCGGATGAATATGGGAGGGGGACGACTCATAACACTCACACTGCCATTGGATCCCTTTTGAAACTTGTACAATGTGTGCTTCTGATTCACTCCTCTCCCTCCTCCCAGGTGCACAACGGCATTGATTATTACAATGCCACCGCTCGTACGCTCAGAAGTTTGTATATTACCCGCTTCTGATCGCTCCTCTCCCCTTCCAGATGCCCGACGGCATTGATTTCTACTACGCCAATCGCTCGCGTAAAGTCAACATTAGTCAGCGCCAGTCAACCGCCCTTTCTGTCCAACCCACCTTTCCCCTCCCCCCTCCTCTCTCCCCCCCTCGCCCCCCCTTCCAGGTGCATGATGGCGTTGACTTCTACTACGCTAATCGCTCGCACGCACAGAAGTTTGTTGTCTTTGTGTCGGCCGTGGTGCCAGCTGCTCTTGTATAGCGTCAACATTAGTCATCGCCAGTCAATACCCGCTTCTTATCGCTCCCCTCCCCTCTCCCAGGTGCACGACGGCATTGACTTCTATTACTCCAATCGCTTTCGTAAAGTCAATACTAGTCAACGCCAGTCAACACTCGGTTATGATCCACCCTATCCCGTTTCAGGTGCATGACGGCATTGACTTCTACTACTCCAACCGCTCGCATGCGCAGAAGTTTGTGGATTTCGTGTCGGCCGTGGTGCCAGCTCAGCACCGCAGCGACAAGCAGCTGGTGTCTCATGACATCCACACGGCGTCTTACAACTACAAGTGAGTACTGCTATAGCGAGTACAGTGCTATTGTGCAGCAGTGGTGTTGGCTCAGCACAGGAGTGACAAGCAGCTGGTGTCACATGACATCCACACAGCCTCGTACAACTACAAGTGAGTGGCAAGCGTGGTGTTCAGTGCGGTGAGTGTGATATTCAGTGCGGTCAGCGTGGTGCCAGCTCAGCACCGCAGCGACATGCAGCTGGTTTCACACGACGTGCACACGGCTTCGTACTACAACTACAAGTGTTATAGCGAGCACAACTAAAAGTGAGTGTTATAGTGAGGACAATCACAAGGGATCTTGTTAACAAGCACAACTAGTGCCAATACTGCCTCCCTCCCTCCGAACCATGTGTTCGATCCCCCCTCTCCTGCTCCCCTCAGGTACACCTTCTCGGTGGAGATCTGCCCCGTGTGCGAGGAAGATCTCATCTGCCTGCATCCAAAGGCAGCCAACGCATGTGGCACGGCGGCCAACCCTCTGGTGCTCTGCATCAGAGTCTCCAACTCGCTTCAGCTGCTCGACCCCTCCACCCTGCACGGCATCTACCTCGACTCGAACCAGTACTGGCGCTACGGCTTTAAGCCCCTGCTCTTTCCCTTCTCATCGCCCTTCTCCCCTTGTTCTCCCCCTCTTGTCACCTGTCTTCCCCCCTCAGGTACACCTTTTCCGTCGAGATCTGCCCCGTCTGCAAGGAGGATCTCATCTGCTTGCCTCCAAAGGCTGCCAACGCGTGTGGGACAGCCGCCAACCCCCTAGTGCTCTGCATCAGAGTCTCCAACTCGCTCCAACTCCTCGACCCCTCCACCCTGCACGGCATCTACCTCGACTCGAACCAGTACTGGCGCTATGGCTTCAAACCCCTGCTCTCCTCGCGACAGCTCGTGGAATATGTCGTGCTAGACGTTGAGGTTGTGGGCGGGGGAGGGGGATGGGGGGGCGGAGGGGGCGGGGGAGGGGGAGGGGGAGTGGGAGGGGGAGGGGGAGGGGGAGCGTGGGGAGGAGGGGGAGCAGGGGGGGCGCCGCACAAGGCGGGGGGAGGGGCGTTGGGGAGGTTTGTGCTGGCAGACGTGCAGGTGGCGCGGGTGGCGGATTTTGGGAAGAACGACGTGATGTTCACCACGCGGACTCACCTGGGGCACTTGTTGAGGCCGGGGGATTACGCCATGGGATATGACTTGCATGGGGCGAACCTTAACAGTGACGACCTCGCGAGGTGAGTTCTCTGTTGGTGGTGGTTCTGGTGTTGGCAGACGTGCAGGGCAGACAGACCTAGCGAGGTGAGTTTGGCGTTGGGGAGGTTTGTGCTGGCAGACGTGCAGGTGGCGCGGGTGGCTGATTTTGGGAGGAACGATGTGATGTTCACCACACGCACGCACCTGGGGCACCTGTTGAGGCCGGGGGATTATGCCGTGGGATACGACCTGCATGGGGCCAACCTCAACAGCGATGACCTCGCCAGGTGAGCCGTTTTTACTGCTGATGTGGTGTGCTGATTTTACTGCCGATTTTACTGCTGGCGTTGGTGGTGGTCATCTTTCCTCCTGCTGGTGCTTCTGATTTCGGGAAGAACGATGTGATGTTCACCACGCGCACGCACCTGGGACACTTGCTGAGGCCAGGGGACTACGGCATGAGGTACGACTTGCATGGGGCGAACCTCAACAGTGACGACCTTGCCAGGTGAGCCGTTCTTACTGCTGATGTATTGGTGGTGGTCATCTTTCCTCCTGCTGGTGCTTCGGATTTTGAAAAGTACGATGTGATGTTGACCACGCGCACGCACCTGGGGCATTTGTTGATGCCAGGGGACTATGCGATGGGATACGACCTGCATGGGGCCAACCTCAACAGCGATGATCTAGCCAGGTGAGTTCTCTGTTGGTGGTGGTTCTGGTGTTGGCAGACCTAGCGAGGTGAGCTGGCTGTTGGGGAAGTTTGTGCTGGCAGACGTGCAGGCAGACGTGCAGGTGGCGCTGGTGGCGGATCAGGAGGTGAGCCGCATGTGGTTGCTGGTGGCTCTGGTGGTGCTGCTGGCGTTGGGGAAGTTTGTGCAGGCAGACGTGCAGGCGGACGCACCTGGGGCACCTGCTTCACCTGGGGGATTATTATGCCATGGGGTATGACCTGAAGGAGAGAGACAACTCTGACACCTCCGTCCCCTCTTTCCCCTCCCCCTTTCCTCCCCTCCCTTCCCCTTTCCTCCCCTCTCTTCCCCTCCATATCTGCTTCTCTCTCACTGCTTCAGGTACAGCAACAGAGCCACCCTCCCACGTGATTCTGGTGCACAAGAGCTACGAGGAGAAGCACAAGAAGCGGCAGAGGGACAACCCTCCCTCCTTCCTCCCCGCCTCTCCCTTTCCTCGCTCCCCCCTGCAGGTACAGCAACAGGGCAACGCTCCCTGATGTAATCCTCGTGCGCAAGAGCTACGAGGAGAAGCGCAAGAAGCGGCGCGGCAAGCCGCGTGCATGGAAGCTGAAACAGCTCGACATGGAAGTGGACGGGGGCGCTGGGGGGGGAGCAGAGCGAGGAGGGGGAGGAGGAGCGAGGGCACGGATCGATGAAGAGAGGGAGGCGGCGGATAAGGAGAGGTTTCTGGAGGAATTGGAGGAGGATCCTGATATGCGGTCAAGGATTGCGGTTTACCGGGATCCGAGCTATGTGCCGGCGCAAGGGGGAGGAGTGGGAGGAGGAGTGGGAGGAGGATTGGGAGGAGGGGATGAGATGGTGGATGGGGAAGAGGAGGAGGATGGGGAGGAGGTTCCGGAGATTCCGCTGGAAGAGCTGCTGTCGGATTTGAGGATTGATGGTGGTGATGGGGAGGAGGAGGGGGAGGTGGATGAGGATGAGGATGATGCTATGGAGACATAATGAGGAGTAGCAGGCTTCCGTTGCTATCGGATTTGAGGATTGGTGGAGAGGAGGGGGAGGAAGGGGAGGTGGATGATGATGAGGATGATGTTATGGGGATATGAGGGGGATGGGGTGGCGGAGGAGGGAGAGGGGGAGGTGGAGGGTGATGAGGATGATGTTATGGAGACGTGAGGGGGAGGAGGATGTTGATATGCGGTGGTAGTGTAAAATTCATGTGAAACCGTCTTGGGCTGATTTAGGAATTACAGCAGTAATTTGTCTAGTTGCTGCTCTGTTGGTTTCGGGTGTATTGCCATGCGCATGCCTTTCTGAGAATGCTGAAAACACAGCAAGTCCCTACTATTGTGCAGGGAACTTGGTATTACTGTACTACTGTATCTAAGGGAAGTGGCAGGAAATCCGGATGTTTTGGGCTGAAATTCGTCAAATCCCTACCCCCACTTAACTTGTACTGAATAAACTTGAGTCAGTGAACTTCCTCAAGAAACTTGTACACCAATACTTTTGCGCTATTGTTACAGGAAGGATCAGGGATCAACGGGACGGACGGATCCTGGACAACAGGTGAAGATAATGCTGTTCTCTCAACAACACACTTGGGGGTAGCCATAGCAAGCACATCATCGCATCCTCTGCTTCTTGCTTGGAACACCACCACGCGCTGCTGACTGTGCTTTGCTCTTGGCAACACGCTTCTGCGCTGTCAGGCCTTTGTGTGCCGCACTCATTCGCTTCTCAGCCCCCCCCTTTCCCTTCTGCACCGGGGCTTGAACTCTTGCCTGCCTGCCACGGTGCTTCTGCTCCTCCTTCTCTAAGTCCTCTGATTCGCTCTCTTCCCCTCCCTTGTCCCTTCTGCATCTTCTTCCTCTGCCTCTTCTGAGTCTTCTCCTGCGTCTTCGTCTTCCTCCAACTCTTCCTCTTCTCCTTCCTCATCCCCTTCATCCCCCTCCTCTTCTTCATCTATCTCTTCCTCCCCTGCCTCCTCCCCTTCCTCCCCTCCTTCCTCGCCCACCTTTGACCTCCTCTCCTTCACTAACCTCCTCTTCCTCCTCACTCCCCTCTACTCCCCCTCCATTCTCCTCTCCTCCTCCATTTCCTCCTCTCCTTCCTCCCCCTCGTCTTCCCCCTCCTCCCTTTCCTCCTCTCCTTCCTCCCTCTCCTCTTCCCCATCCCCCTCTCCTCTTCTCCTTCCTCCCTCTCCTCTTCCCCATCCTCCCTCTCCTCTTCCTCTCCATCTCCCTTACCCTCCTTCCCCTTCAACCCCTCCTCTCTCTTACTCTCCAGATACCTCCACATCTTCATAGCAGCATCCACCTCGCTATAGTCACCTCCTCCTCTCTCACTCCCATCTCCCTTCCCCTCCTCTCCTCCCTCCCTCTCACCTCCCCTCCTCTCGCCTCTTTCCCTCCTCTCACTCTCCCTCCTCACCTTCTCCTTCAATACTTCCAAACCAGATGGCCTCTCCTGGGCGGCAGCTTTGGCCTGTAGCGCCAGGGCGGCTTTGCCGCCCGACCCGGCAACCTTCAGTGCCAGCTCAGCTTCCGGCTGTAGCGCCAGGTCAGCAGTCGGCTGTAGCATGGTGAGGGCGGCGAGAGAGTAGTCAACGAGGTAGGAGCTCCGCAGCACGCGCTCGAGACGCGCCAGGTGGCGCTGCGTGTATGGCTGCAGCCCGTCCAGAATCTCCCCGATTCCTGGGATCTGCGTGCACGTGCAAGGGGGTATGAGCGAGGGGGGGAGTGGTGCCTCTTCAACACATCTGCAAGCAGTCTCTGGGCCGAGAGGGACAAAGCTTGGCGTTGGTGTTCCACTTTTGAGTCGACTCAGAAGTCACCTTGTTCCACTCGCGCAAGATACAGCAGCAGCTGCCGCTGCCTCTCAGTCTGTCCATTCTGTCCCACTTCCAATCCCCTCCTTTCAACACCCCCTCTACCCCCACCCCATTCCTGTATGAGCGTTGACGGAGGGTGGTGCTTCAGCACTGCCGCGAGCAGTCTCTGGGCTGACAGGCACAGCTTGGCGTTGGTATTCCACTCGCGCGCGTACAGCAGCAGCTGCCGTTTATTCCTATTCCTACACAGGAGCTTCAGCACAGCAGCCAGCAGTCTCTGGGCTGACAGGCACAGCTTGGCGTTGGTATTCCACTCGCGCGCGTACAGCAGCAGCTGCCGTTTATTCCTATTCCTACACAGGAGCTTCAGCACAGCAGCCAGCAGTCTCTGGGCTGACAGGCACAGCTTGGCGTTGGTATTCCACTCGCGCGCGTACAGCAGCAGCTGCCGTTTATTCCTATTCCTACACAGGAGCTTCAGCACAGCAGCCAGCAGTCTCTGGGCTGACAGGCACAGCTTACCATTGGTGTTCCACTCGCGCGCATACAGCAGCAGCTGCTGCAGCTGTCTATTCATTCAGTCTTACCCAGTCCCCTACCTGCATGAGCGCTGACGGCGGGTGGTGCTTCAGCACAGCAGCCAGCAAGCATTGAGCCGACAAGTACAGCTTAGCATTGGTGTTCCACTCGCGCGCATACAGCAGCAGCATAAGCGTACCTGCATGAGCGTTGCTGGCGGGTGGTGCTTCAGCACGGCCGAGAGCAGCCTCTGTGCCGACAGGCAGAGCTTGGCGTTAGTATTCCACTCGCGCGCATACAGCAGCAGCTGCCGCAACTGCGAGGGTTCTAGCCCTGCCACTGCTCCTCCTATCCTCTCCTCCGCACCTTCCTTCCTGCCATGGGTAGCGAGAGGAAGAGGGTGAGTGTGCAATGGAGCACAAAGAGAGTGAGAAGCGAGGGGGAGGGAGGGGCAGTGCTCCACTCGCACGCATACAAGCGTAGCTTCCTCAGCTGCGAGGGTTCTAGCCCTGCCACCGCCCCTTTTCTCCTCTCCTCTCCTTTTCTCTTCTTCCTTCCTGAAAGACGAGAGAGAGGGCGAGGGAGAGACAAGGGACGGGAGAAGAGGGGGAAAGAGAGTGAAGGGGAGTTGAGAGCAACGGTCCATGAGGCCAGGCCAGGCCAGGCACTTCATGAGGCCAGGCTAGGGAGCAGTGCTGGCAGCACTGTGCTGCCATGGTGGCGGCAGGTAGCTGCAGCTGCAGCCAAGGATTCCCCAACTGCAGTTTCAATACACTGAACTGAACTGCTTCCCCATATGGAACTGATGGGGAAGCAGTTCAGCAGATGAACTGAACTGCTTCCCCATATGCTTCCATCTTCTCCCACGCATTCCGAGCTGACATTTGATTCAACTCAGACGTCATGTGCTTCCATATACTCCCGTGCATTCCCAGCTCACCTCATGAGGTCGGAGAGCAAGGCTGCCATGCTGGCGGGTCGCTGTAGCTGCAGCGTGGCATGTGCACGCGCGCACACACAGAGTCACTCATTCATACAAAGCAGCAAACTCACTTCATAAGGTCCGAGAGCAGGGCTGCCATGGTGGCGGGTCGCTGTAGCTGCAGTTGAGGATTCTCAACAGCAATTCCAATACATCAAGCTACCCCTCCCCCCAGCAGCGTAGCTTCCGACCCACTCACTTCATGAGGTCGGAGAGCAGGGCGGCCATGGTGGCGGGTCGCTGCAGCTGCAGCGCCAGCTGTAGCGCCGTCACATAGTCCTCCGCTACAGCCGCGTTGCGCATCGCCTGCTCCTGCTGCACTGCCTTCACCTGGTGGCAATGAAGAGAGAGGCATGGAGAGAGCGGAGCAAGGAGGGAGAGAGAGTCCTTAGCTACAGCCCCCCCCGTGCCTGCAGCGCCAGCTGTAGCGCCGTCACATAGTCCTCCGGGTGTGTTTTGAGTCGACTCAAAACACATAGTCCTCCGCTACAGCCGCATTGCGCATCGCCTGCTCCTGCTGCACTGCCTTCACCTGAGAGGGGAGGGACGGAGGAGGAGGAGGGGGATGGAAGGAGTAAGCCGTGGGGAGGGGAAGGCGAGAGTCCTCAGCTACAGGCTACAGCCCTGCTATCCAACGAGTACAGTGCACACCACAACACGGTCCTCCCCAAACTGCTCCATAACGAGTACAGAGTATACTGTGTAAGCCCCTCACCTGCTCCAGGGCCGCTTCTTCCTGCTCCTGCTGCGTGCAGTCCTGCCACACGTGCACCAATGAGTCGCTGCCACCTGTCGCCAGCATCTCCGACCCTGGGCTCACTGCTAGAGCCCATATCTGTGAGAGGCGGAGATGGGAGGTGAAAGGGGAACGGGGGAAGGGGGGAAGGGAGGAAGCGGAAAGCGGAAAGGTGGCAGGACGCTAGGGTGATTTCGCTGGGAGCTCCATGTGCTGGCACGTGATAAAAGAGATGTTTTGAGACGATGCGGTAAAAGGACATGAGCTCTCTTTTATCATTTCGCTGGGAGCTCCATGTGCTGGCACCGATGCAGTGGGGACTTTTGAGTCGACTCAAAAGTCAACTCGGTTCTCAGCAGATACGCGACGAGATGCAGTGCGAGCAACAACTTCCCACGAATAACAGATACGCGGGAAGTTACGTGACGAGATGCGTGGGAAGTTACGTGGTGCGATGGCGGTTGAAGAGCAACAACTTCCCACGACGACCTCCCCTTCCCCCACCCCCTCCCCCCCCCACCCCCTCCTCCCCCCCTCCCCCTCCTTCCTTCCCCCACCCCCCACCCGTTTGAGAAATACAGAATCCTCCCCACCACCCCTTTAACCCATCCTCTCCACTCCATGTTCTCCTCTAGCCCCACCTTATCCTCATGCTCATCGAATGTGTTGACACACTCCCCGCCCTTCACACTCCACAGCTTCAGAAGCCCGTCCGCTCCGGTTGACACCACCTGGGGCGGAAAAACGAGGGAGGGGAAAGACAAGGGCGAGCGAGGGGGGGCAAACGAGGGTGAGAGAGTGTCAGCAGCGCATATGCTCCAGTCGAAAAACGAGAGTGTCAGTAGGCAGTGATGAGAAGAGGCGTCGCCTGATGCCGTGAGCCCACAGACCCTCAAGTGCACACAGACCCAATGCAGCACAGCGCACACTGCACACAAGGCGAGGCCTACCTGCGTGCCTCGGGACAAAGATGGCCTTGAGCCCTGATGCCTCGTGCCCTTGCAGCGTGCAAGCAGCTGCCGTCCTCCAGAGCCCAGATGCACCCAGATGCACCCAGATGCACCCAGATGCACCCACACAGCACCCAAGAAACCACCTACCTACCTGCGTGCCTCGGGTGACAAAGATGGCCTTGACCGCGGAAGCCTCATAGCCCTGCAATGTGCGCAGCGCAGGCAGCTGCCATCCGCCAGAGCCCAGATGCGGCACGTGGCATCCCCCAATGCTGTGAGCACACAGCGAGACTTCATGCAGCACACAGACCGCCGCAGCAAGAACACAGAGAACCAAGGGCCTACCTGCGTGCCTCGGGTAACGAATATGGCCTTGAGCACTGATGCTTCATGCCCCTGCAGTGTGCGCAGGCAGCTGCCGTCTGCCAGCGCCCAGATGCGACACGTGGCATCCCCTGATGCCGTGAGCACACAGCGGTCCACGGGGGAGAAGGCCACGCTCCACACGCCACGCTTGTGACCTCTCAGCGTGACGGAGAGGGAGAGGTCTGGAAGTTTCCACACCTTGGCCGTGCGGTCCTGTTGGGGGAGAGGGAGAGCAGGCAGGTAGCAGAATGGCACTCCCTTTTACACACAGCGGTCAACGGGGGAGAAGGCGACAGACCACACGCCGTGTTTGTGGCCTCGCAGTGTCACAGAGACAGACAAATCTGGCAGGCGCCACACCTTGGCCGTGCGGTCCTGTAGGCGGGGTGTAAAAGAGCAAAGGGGGGCCAGAACAAACATTGGCTGGCTGATGCACAAAACGGTCCATGAGAGAGAAGGCGATGGGGCACGCACATGCCCCTCTTGCAGCCCTTGGAAAATCACCCGAGGATTATGTAAGGATCACCTGAGATACACCTGAGAATCACCTGAGACACACCTGAGAATCACCTGAGACCCACCTGAGACTAGCCTGAAACCCACCTGAGAATCACCTGAGACCCATCTGAGAATCATCTGTGACCCACCTGAGGGGCAGCTGAGACCCACCTGAGAATCACCTAAGACCCACCTGAGACTAGCCTGAAACCCACCTGAGAATCACCTGAGACCCACCTGAGAATCATCTGTGACCCACCTGAGGGGCTATGAGACCCACCTAAGAATCACCTAAGACCCACCTGAGACTAACCTGAAACCTACCTGAGAATCACCTGGTACGCACCTGGGAGCCAGAGCACACGAGGGCATCGTTGGGAGCCACAGCCACAGCGTTTATATCCTTGTCATGTGCTGCCACTGTGGCACCTGACTTGAGACGAAGCACGCCGCCCCTCCCGCGAGGCAGCGCTGCTGCGGAGGACGCGAGGAGGAGTGCCAGCGGCCAGACTTTGAGCGTGCGATCGCTGGGAGGGGGAGAGGGGGAAGGGAGAGGGGGAAGGGAGAGGGGGAAGGGAGAGGGGGAAGGGAGAGGGTTGGGGCAAGGGGCAAAGGGGAAAGGTTAAGCTTGAGGCGGCTCACGACTTGAGGTGGTGGTGGTGAGGAGGAGAGGAGTGCCAGACTGTGAGCGTGCGATTGCTTGGAGAGGGGAGAGGGGGGAGGGAATGAGGGGAAGCAGTTTGGACGCAGGTAATATTCACCGTACACACACGCTCACACACACCCACACACGTGCACACATGCTCACACACGTTACACGGCTTAGCTCACACATATATATACATACCTTGAACCAGATACCAAGAAAGGCCCTGCTCCTCCCCCTTTCCCTCCTGTTGGCTGATCTGGCGGCGGCCTCTGAGAGAACGCCACAGCAGCAACTGCTGCCACGTGTCCTGACCCCATTGCTAGACAGGCGCCGGTGGTGACGTCCCACACTCGCACCTAATTGGCCAGGAATGGGCGGCACGGGATGGGCGGGCAGGAATGGTTGGGCAGGAATGGGTGGGAAGGGATGGGTGGGATGAAAGAACAGGTGGCTGGATGGCCAACTAGGAGAAGGGGAGGAAAAATTGAACGGCATGGGACGGCACGTGGCATGTGACCTTACCTTTGTACTTGAATAACGGCATGAATGCGCTGCAAGTGTATTCAGAGGACAAGAGGGGGGAAAGAGGGTGGGAGGAGGACAGTGGGGTGGGTGGGGGACGGGCGGGGGGTCGAGTGAGGTGCTTACGGAGTGATCTTTAGCAGACGAGGCGAGCAGAGAAACCGGAACAATATCAGCAGAACCACCGCTACCATCACCGCCAGCACTAGCGACAGCGCCAGCTGCAGCAGCAGCAGCAGCAGCAGGAGGAGGGCCAAGAAGGGCACGCGGCACGGAGCAAGCATGGGGGTATGCGTCGATGCACAGCACGATATCCGAGTGGCCAATCAGGGAGCGGCGACAGCTGGCGGTCGCCACGTCGTACACGCGCACTTGCTCGCTATTGGTCGCCACCGCCAGCTGGAGATTCCTCTCCACCCCTCTCAACGCCTTCCTTATCCCCTCCGCTCCGTCCTCGCCCTCCTCTCCCTCCTCTCCCTCCCCTCCCTCCTCGACCTCCCGTCCACCTCCTATTCCCTCTGCCTCCTCCTCCTCAGCCTCGTCCCCCTCCTCCCCTGCATCATTAAAGGAAGAGGGGTCAAGGACGAATCGCACGTCCACGATCTCGTCGTTCTGCCCAATCAGCTGCTGACACATGGCAAGAAACTGCTGCTGCTGCTGCTGCTGCTGCTGCTGCTGCTGCTGCTGCTTCGTTACAGTCACATTCACAGGCTGATACACCAGGAGCCGTTGATCTGCAGTGGTACACAGCAATCTGCATCCTCCCTTTCCACCTCCCCCTCCCCCTCCCCCTCGCCCTCCCCCTCCCCCTCCCACGCCCAGAAACTGAGCCGACAAAAACCCGCCGCCAGCTGGCGCCTCCTCATTGGCCTCCGCGCCCGTTTTCTGCTGCCCGCCGGCCACCTCAGCTGCCCGTTGCTCCAGGACCGCCGTTGACTTGTCTGACCGCCACAACCGCATCACACCCCTCTCTCCCACACTCACAAACCACACCACCTCTTTCTCCCCCATCTCCTCCCTGCTCTTCTTCCCCTTCTCCCCTTTCCTCCCCTTCTCCCCCTTCTCCCCTTTTCCCCCTCCTGCTTCCGCCCCAGCAGTGACAGAAGCAGAGGTGGGGGGATGACAGGAAAGGATGGGGCTATAGTGGGTGTGACTATAGCGAGGCCTTCGAGGGACTCAAAAACGGGGATGGTGGTGACGTGGGCATAGGTGCGAATATCCCAAATGTTCACCACCTGTGACAGGCGGAGGGGAAGGGGGAGCGCGAAGGAGGTGGGGAGGTGTGAACGGAGAGGGTAGGGGATTAAGATTATAGTTGAAAGGATTTCTCTGAAGTGCTTGTCCAGAGAGGAGAGCTAGCGAGGGGTGGGGGGGTATTGCCTGACCCACCTTGTCACGGGAAGCAGTGAGCAGCAGCCAGCCGGAAGGCGAGAAGGCGATGGCGGTGACAGTAGAGAAGTGCTTGTCTAAAGAGGCTGCTGGGCGGACAGAGGGATGAGGTGGGACCTAGAAAGACCTAGAAGGGACCTATGGGTCCAAAAAGGACCCACCTTGTCACGGGATGCAGTGAGCAGCAGCCAGCCAGAGGGCGAGAAGGCGATGGCGGTGACGGTAGAGAAGTGCTTGTCCAGAGAGGCTGCTGGGCGCTTGGTCACCAGATCCCACACTCGTACTAGCCCACTCTCTGATGCGCCCACCAGCTGTGGGAGGGGAGGGGGGAACGGTGGGGAATGGCTGAGGGGGCAAGTGTCACCATCGCGCTTGGTGACCAGATCCCACACCCGCACCAACCCGCTCTCTGACGTGCCCACTAGCTGATGGGAGAGGGGGAAATGGTGTGTGTGGGGGATTGGACGGCAGGGGAAGAAGCGGGAAACAACAACGAGAGGCTGCTGGGCGCTTTGTAACCAGGTCCACCAGCTGTTTTAAGGATGAGGGGGAGAGGTGGGGTGGAAAGGATGCAGGAAGGCGGGAGAGAAATTGTGCACGAGACAAGGAAACTTTCTGAACCACCCACCAAGAGAGGTTAGTCCGACCCACAGCACTCACCAGCAGGTGATTGGGATTGGGGTGAGATGCCATGCACGAGAGCACACCTCCCATGCCAGTGAACGAGTGCGTGCACGCGTTGGCCTCCAGGTCCCACACTCGCACGCCCCTGTCCGCCTGCCTGTCTGCTCTGCTATCATTCCTCCCCAGAACACTCACCAGGAGCTGATTCGGGTCAGGGTGAAACGCCACGCATGACATCACTCCCCCCATGCCCGTGAACGAGTGCGTGCGTGCATTCGCCTCCAGGTCCCACACGCAAACTCCCCAGTAGGCCTGCCTGCCTGTCTGCCTGTCTGTCTGTCCGCCCATCTGCCTGTCTGCTTTCATTCGCCCCCAGACTAGAACACTCACCAGCAGCTGATTGGGGTCCGGGTGGAAGGCCACTTGCGACAGCACTCCCCCCATGCCCGTGAACGAGTGCGTGCATGCATTCGCCTCCAGGTCCCACACACGCACGCCCCTGTCCGCCCCAGTTCACCCACATGTGCCTGCCCACGCCCCTGTCTGCCTGTCTGCCTGCTTTCATTCGGCTGTAACACACTCACCAGGAGCTGATTCGGGTCGGGATGGAACGCCACGCACGACAGCACGCCTCCCATGCCAGTGAACGAGTGCGTGCACGCGTTGGCCTCCAGGTCCCACACACGCACGCCCCTGTCCGCCCCAGTTCACCCACATGTGCCTGCCCACGCCCCTGTCTGCCTGTCTGCCTGCTTTCATTCGGCTGTAACACACTCACCAGGAGCTGATTCGGGTCGGGATGGAACGCCACGCACGACAGCACGCCTCCCATGCCAGTGAACGAGTGCGTGCACGCGTTGGCCTCCAGGTCCCACACACGCACGCCCCTGTCCGCCCCAGTTCACCCACATGTGCCTGCCCACGCCCCTGTCTGCCTGTCTGCCTGCTTTCATTCGGCTGTAACACACTCACCAGGAGCTGATTCGGGTCGGGATGGAACGCCACGCACGACAGCACGCCTCCCATGCCAGTGAACGAGTGCGTGCACGCGTTGGCCTCCAGGTCCCACACACGCACGCCCCTGTCCGCCCCGCCTGTCGCCAGCAGCCCGCCACTAGCGTCTACCGCCATACACGACACGGGCGCAGGGTGCGCCTGAGAGGGGAACAACAGAGGAGAGCAATAAAATGGAGGATGAGTTATCCTCCAGGCCCCACACGCGCACGCCCCTGTCCGCCCCGCCTGTCGCCAGCAGCGCACCACTAGCGTCCACGGGAGCAGAGGGGAGCAGAGGGGAGTAGAGGGGAGTAGAGGGGAGCAGAGGGGAGTAGAGGGGAGTAGAGGGGAGCAGAGGGGAGTAGAGGGGAGTAGAGGGGAGCAGAGGGGAGTAGAGGGGAGCAGAGGGGAGCAGAGGGGAACAGAGGGGAGTAGAGGGGAGCAGAGGGGAACAGCGGGGAGCAAAGGCAGGTTTTAGAGGATAAGCCTAGCCTGGTGTGCTGATCCTCCCCTACTGACTCCCTGTCCGCGGACTCCGCGCCCCCCTGTTGGAGGGAGAGGAGTGACGGAGTGGGGGAAGGGGATGGGGGGTGCGGGGGGTAGTGGGAGGGTGTGCGAGGGTTTGGGGATTGGCGTGTGTGAGGATGACCGGCCAGCGCGACCAATCCTTGCCTCGTCCCCCCCGCGCGCTGTCTGCCTCTCCCCCCTATCCTGGGCCCTTCCTTCCCCCTCGTCCCTCCGCCCCTCCCTTCCCCTCCACCTTCCATCCTCCCCCCCTCCCCCCCCCCCCTCACCCTCCCTTCCCCCCTCTTACCTCCCCCCCCCCCAACTTCCACGACCGCTTGCACTCCCCCGTGCGCCAGTTCCACAAGCGCGTCTGCAGGCTGCAGCACTGCCTCTCCCCCATTTCCCATCCCCCATTCCCCCATCCGCCATTCCGCCTCCCCCCTTCCGCCCTCCCCCCCTCCCCCGCCTCACCTTCCATGACCGCTTGCACTCCCCCGTGCGCCAGTTCCACCAGCGCGTCTGCAGGCTGCGCGAGCTGGCCAATACGGACACGCCATCTGGACTCGCGGCGACGGCTGTGATTTGCTCTCCGTCGCCCTCCAACGTCCGCACGACCTTGCCCGTGGTGAGATCGACGATCTTTACCGCGTCAGCGCAAGGACATGCCACGTGGCGCCCATCCGGAAAGACTGCCACGTGGCCGCCTGTGTAAAAGACCTCGAGGCTTAGCAAGGGCTTGTAGGTTTTTTTCGGGACGAGGCGCGTCAGATGCTGATGCTTTTGGGATTGGCGGCCTGCGGAGTGCGATACGGAGTGGTGTGATGACGTGGCGCCCTCTAATCGGGGCGCCATGGTGAACGAATGCTTGAATCAAGAGGCTGCCGGCAATCACGGCAGGAGCGGACGACGGAACGACGAGATCGCGCAACGGTTGACGACCCGACGGCTCGAGATTGTTGCGTCTCACGATACGATTCCCGGTGGGGAGCACAACGTGTTTCGACAAACTGGTTCCGCTAGTGTTTCAACAAACTAACTAGCCTAAACCCGATCTCCCCAGAACCCTAAAGTAACGGGCTTTGGACGGGGTAAATTTGCGAAGTTGCCCGTAATTTGGTTTGGCACAGACCCGTGTGGAGGAGGCCTGTCATCCTCGATACAGTCTGCTCGGAGTTTCTGACAGAGCTAGCTCGCGTTCCAGTTGGCAAAATTTCACATTTTTCACATTTGACAAAATATTATCTCCCAGTGTCACACTACTCCGCAGCAGAAAATTGTCAGAATAGCCGTGCATGCACCTCACCCTCTATGTTTGTATCAAAACCAAATTATTACAAACCACATCATTATTGGGATAGCCTTCTATATGTGTCCCCTCCCTACGTTAGTATCATTATTAGTGGTGGCCTACTCACTGCAAATATGGGTGCCTCACTGACAACAAAATTCACTACAGGCACACTACTAACAATAGACTGACAGACAGCGAGGTGTTTGTCTAAACTGGATAAGAGGCAAACCAAGATAGCAGCTATCTGCTGCGTATAAAGGGCCAAAGGTAGTGTGATATAAGGGAGGAGGGAGAAATGAGAGGGGAGGGAGTTTTGGAGGGGAGAGATTTGTAGCTGGCATGCTTGAATCCGTACGTACCTGTTAGGGAGTATATTTCTCCCAAGGTGGCTTGAGACCCATCTGCTAGATCTGCGATTCTTCTTAATGGCTTCCAAGGTGATTATTATGCTAGTATTTATGATTGCAGCTCGTGAGGTTGCTGCTTTACGAGCTGCTGCTGCTGCTGCTGCTGCTCCTGCTGCTGCTCCTGCTCCTGCTGCTGCTGTCCTCCTACCACGCTTCTACTCCTGTCTAGGAACAAGTCGCTCGCTGCGCAGCTATTAGAAGTCTCGGAACCGCATCGCATGCGGTTCGAGTGCTGCCCCTGTCGCCGTCTGCCTGTGTGCCATCCACGCGCAACACTGCAACTTCCACGCCAAACGTGACACTACCACTCTGGCATGCTGCGGATCGCCTACGCCTAATGAGGACTCAGGGCGACTCGACTCGTCTACGCCCACACGTGCATCTTCTCCCGCAGACTCCCACCGAAGCGCTTCAGGAGGAACCGCCGGATGTGCCCGGCTCTGTTGGCGGGAAAAAACTCACGAACGAATGCGATCCGCTTCTCCTGTTTCTTCTCATCGGGAACCTTCGAGGTTCGTTCCTCTGCGTCCCACTCCTTCCAATGTGATGACGCCGCGTCATTATGGTTGTCGTTCGACCAATCACTGGAGTCGCTGTCGCCCACCACCGAGCCGCACTCGCTGCTGCTGGCAGTCTCCGACGCGCGATCAAATTCCGCGTCGCACACATTTTCATGCGCTTTCGAGACGAAAGAAGACGATGTTGACGACGAAACGAGGTTGCCGCTGTTGTCGTCCCGAGCAGTATTCTTATTGAACTCGCCATTGAAGTAGTTGGGTTGAGTTCGGTCACTGATTGGGCTTAGATCGTATGTGCTAGAATCTTCGGGTTCGGATTCGAGTGAGGTTGACGACAGCGTTCGCTTGAGAGCGGGCTGCTTGCCGAACGAGAGGTTGAACTTTGTCAAACTTCGCAGCGACAAGCTCCGCGACTTTGTGGGAGCTTCAAAATCCCAAGACGACGCTACCCCGCCGCCTTTCGCAAAATCGTTAAGGTCGTCGTCGGCATTCGGCGAATCACAGCCGATCATCCCCCACCCCTCCTCCTCGGCATTCCCAAGAAGCGATTCCTTCTTTTTGCGAGATTTGGCGAAGTCGTTTGGCGAAAACAATCCTGAACCGGTGCTATTCGCAGCCGTGAGGCTGATAGACCGCGGCATCCATCTTAGTAACTGAGGCCCCTTATCACCGCCATTCCCGCTGCCGTGATTGCCGGTTCTTGGGGAGAGATCAAGCGCAGGACCGGATTCCGCAAGCGCGGAAAGTTTTCCGCGAATATCGGGTCCTCGACGACGAGAACTCATGTCGAATGAGGACAAGGTGATGACGCCCATGGTCGGAGCTTGGAGTTTGAAGCAGTCAGCGGGGAATGCGGAAGGGTGTGAGAGCGGTTTCCACGGAAAGAGGCCTTTTTCGAGGAAGGTGCGGCTACGAAGGAATGAATTTACGCTCCTGTGAGCATCTGCCTAGAAATTTGCTTTGAATGATAAGCGCCGAGGAGGGTGTGCCAGGTTGATGCATGAGTATTCTGTCTACGTTTACAGCTGTAGTATGCCGTTCTGCGTAAAGGTATCAGCTGTGATTGACGTGTGTAGGATATGGAAATATGTATTTTAGTCGTGGCTCAGGGCTGTAGGATGTGGTCGCGGATGCGACTGCGCAGATGCGTTTCCTGACGCGACTGCTGAGGGGTGTACCGGCGAATATTCTCTGCTGGGGATGCACGGTTCGGGTTCTTGGTTTTGGTTTTCTCTTCTCGGTCTTGCGCTGGGTGGGTTGAATGTTGCGGCAGTGCGTAGTGATGGGATGGGAGGGACATTGGTGGCAGGCAGTGCGCTTGTTCGCACACCCACCAGCTGCATCTGCTTGCAAAAAGTTTTGTTCAAACGGGAATGGATGCTTTCTGTCTAGGGTTCACCAGCAAAGCGGAGCCGGTCCACGACTAGGGACGGTGGATGGGTGGTGGTGGTGGGAAAGCAAGGTTGCGCGGAAATGCTTGGCCGCTAAAACAATTTCAGCGCGCCGCAGCAAAGCGCGAAGCGCTACCTTCTTACACAGCGGCAGAAATACGACTTCGTGATTTTCTGCCTGCAGGAAGATTTGGGAAGTCAGCTGTCAACGGTAACCATGCAGTCAACTGCCACCTGCCGGCGAAAGCTTGCGACCGTTGCGAACGGTGACTGGATTCGGTGGGGGTGAGTGAACAGATGTGGAATCTTGTAAATTTGCTAGCTGCTTATTATTAATAGACAACGTTGTAGAGAAGCATGCACTACCATATATCGGATCGTGACTTGGGAGGGTGCTCATTTCGTTAGGTCCTTCTCAAGCTTTTCGCCAAACGTTTCGCTGGAGCCGTTGCTTCGCTCGTGGTGGGAAATAAATCTGTCCCACTTGGCGCCGTCCCCACAATAGACGTTCACGCGCCGCCAATTCGAGAGTAGGGTAACCAGCCGGAAACCGAATCGCTACCGACATTTTGGCACCAATTTCCCAAACCCAATCCCAAAACGGATTTCCCTCTTTCCCCTTCACAAGGACCCCCTCCCAAATTCCTTCTCCCTCCTGTCTCTTGTTCCCCTCCCACTGGATCCCTCTCCCCTCTTCGGTCCCCCACCCCTCTGAAGAGAATTCAGTACAATACTCGACTCCCAATACAATCGCGTACCCCTGGCCTGCAGGTGCTCTGCGGAGACTTCCGCTTCACCCGCGTCTCCCTTGCCTACTGGCCGTCGACGTGTGTACAGTGCGTGCGCCAAAGCGAGCCGCATAGTGCCCGCACTCCATACATGCACTATACCAAGCTAGACTGCTGCAAGCATGACTTCATGGGAACGAGGGATTCCTCTTGGACAACAATAGCACCTTACTTACTCATTGACAGAGAATCCCAGAGGAAAATGGTCTGCCCTGGTCTGTCTGTTTAGATTCGTGCCTGCTTCACAGCGCAAAAGCGAAGCACAGCACCTTTTCCTGCGAGGCAGTCTGTCCTTCTGACGCCATCCCAACCCATCCCATTCCACCTCCACTTCGTTGCGCCTCAGCTCCTCGCGTTTCCAACACCACGGCGCCTTTGGAAGACGCCTTCTCCCATCCCAATGCGCTTAATCTCATGCTTCTGGGGGCGAAACGCCGCCAATGTCAAACCGAGGTTACCATTATGCACAACGCACCGAGGCCTAATTCACGGCTCAATGCAAGGTCCGCACCTCCGTCGTCTATGTCCCCGTAGCCCGCTGCGCTTCGTTTTTTCGGGTGCATGCACCTCAACCCGTACTCACAACACCGCGTCGCTGCAACACGGCGTTGTGCGCCGCTGCACTTTCCGCACCCTTATTTCCGCACGCGCAGCTCTCCTCCTTCCCCCACACACTGCGCGGTCAACACCGCGTCGAATTCGTGCTATGCCCTGTCATACGCGCTACCGAATTCTAGAAGCCGAATTTCCTCCGCCGGATTCCACCTGCCGAAATCCCGTGGCCGAGCTCGCAACCACCCGTCGGGTTAGTTAGTCATCCGTCGTTTAGAAAGCTTCTTAAATCGACATGAAGCACAACACATCTACTCTTCTCCTGTTGGCAATCGGTACCATTTCATTAGAACCCTTTTGTTAGAACCTGCAAGCCGCTGGCGAAAGGCAGGCATATGGAAGCGAAGGCAGTCATAGTCACCCCAGTAGCAGTGCCTTCATCCAGCCAGTAGTATCACATCGTGTGAACCTCGTCTCATCTTAATTCTTAATCGGAACTAGTGCGCTCCGACATCCTAACGTCGTGTCCACCAGAGCTGTTCGATTTGCGTGACGCCCCCATCTCCGCTAAAGTAGCACCTCGGTAGCTCTGGCTTCAATTCTGTTACGCCATCTCCGCGCGTCTCCCACCGCTTTTACCGCGTAGATTTTCCTACAGCAGTAACCTGCGCCGGCAAACGCGGCAGCCATGGGGTCGGGTATGAGCCGCCCGCGGCGCAAAAAGGGACCCGACATCCGCGGAAAGATGTCCGCGCTCTCAGACTCCGCCGCCTCCGCCTCCGCCTCCCGCTCCTCCTCCGGCTCCGCTACCGCCAAAACCTCCTCCCCCTTCGCGTGGATCGCGCAGCGCGCCAAGGCCCTCCGCGAGGGGAAGACATGGCGGCGGCGGCAGAAGAAGCGGGAGCGGCGGCGCCGGCGGCGGCTGGAGAATTCTGCGCAAGTTGAGCCGGTGGGCCCGTGGCTGCGCGAGATCCGGCCGGATCAGAACTGGGCGGAAAAGCTCTCGGGGAAGCAGTACTGGGCGGAAGCGGCAACTTCGGGGGACATTATCCGGGAGAAGGTGCGGAGCCATGTGGCTTCCCCTGAAGCCAAAAGCGCGGGGAAGCGCGCGGGGGAGTCGATGCGCGTATCTACGTGCATGATCTCGCCTCCGCCTCCGCCCTTGTTCCCCGCGTCGCCCCCTAGTGGCGAGGCGCCTCAGAATCCGTCACAACCGGCGGGACCTTCGCCGCCTGTCCCGGCTGGTCCTTTGCCGCCCGTCACGGCGGGGATTACGCCGCCTACCACGGCGCCTTGCTGGGGAAGCACTGTGGTTGCTGCGGTTTCGGCAGATACTCCTACAGCACCTACAGCACCTATAACAGCTGCTGCGCCCATTGTGCCTCCTATGGTTACAGAAACGGCTGTGGTTACACCAGCTGCTCCTGCTCCTGCTTTTGCTCTTGCTCCACCAGCAAATCCAGTCGTCACGGCGGCTCCTATGGATGCAGATTTGTTCGCACCTGCTGCTCCACCTCCCGCTGCTCCTATCACCGCGGCTTCATTCTCCAAGGATCCTGTTCTCCCTGCAGTTACACCAACTGCTGTGGTTACCACAACTCCTACGGTTACATCGGGTGCAGCATCGATTCCCGAAATACAATCATTCCTCGACGACGCTCCCATGGTTATTGAACCTCCAACGGCTCTTCAGAGCGAAATTCCATCGCTGTTGGATGATGTACCTGTTACCACACCTACATCGGTAACAGCAGCAACTCCCAAGATACAAGCTCATGTAGTTACCACATTTACCACGCCCACATCGGCAGCAACAGCTATTCCCGAGATACAAGCTCCTGTAGTTACCACATTTGCCGCGCCCACATCGGCAGCAACAGCAATTCCCGAGATACAATCATTCCTCGATGACCCTCCCATGCTTATCGGCTCTGCAGCTTCGCTTGCTCCTGTCGCTGCAGTTGGGGCTCCCACGGGTCCTGTTCTTCCTGCCGTTACACCAGCCCCTGTGGTTACCACATTTCCCACAAATACTTCAAGTGCAGCAGCAATTCCCGAGATACAATCATTCCTCGATGACGCTCCCATGGTTATCGAACCTCCAACGGCTCTTCAGGGCGAAATCCGATCGCTATTGGATAAGATTCCTGTTACCACACCTTCATCGGGAGCAGCAGCGATTCCCACCGTCACATCGGGTGCCGTAACGATTCCCGAAATACAATCATTCCTCGATGACGCTCCCATGGTTATCGAAGCTCCAACTGCACTTCAGATTGAAATCCCACCGCTATTAGGCGACGTTCCTGTTGTCACACCTACGACGGCGACACCGACACCTGCTGCAGTAACCTCGTTAATGGACCACTCCCCCACCATAAATCCAAGCCTTCCTGTAGTTACCACCACGGCACTGCCAGCTGTCACAACGGTTACACCGGTTACACCGATTACAGCGGTTGCAACGGTTGCAGCGGTCCCTGTTACAACGTCAGTCCAACCTGGCTGGCTCAACTTCGCATAGACTGGCGGGAACACCCGCAAGCGCCACAAGCAATACTCTCAGGTGGGAACATTTCGGAAGCAAATCTGGAAGTGTTTCGGGCGATCCCACACTGAATGCATTACTACAAGGCTCTGTCCCTTTACTTGCAGTCACTATCACTAGGAGGAGTGAAGGGTCAGGCGGGTCCCATGCATGAATGCAAAAACGCATGCATTGCCAAGCATGTCTCATGCGTGACTGCTTGAATTTATGCATGGCCAAGGGTCCATGCGTGGCCAAGCGAGTCCCATGCATGCATGCCTACATGGATGAAGTTTTTTTGCATGCATGGCCAAGCAGGTCCCACTGGCTAGAGTGAAACCAGTAGCTCTATCAGTACCCATCAGGAACGAGCTAGTTGCTTTTTCAGGCCTTTCTCACTTGTGGTCATGTCTTACCCTGCTTATCTTATCTCATTTTCCTCTCTTCTCTATTGACTCCCCCTGTGCCCTTCTTTTAATTCCCCTTGTCCTCACCCTTCTCCCCCCTGTTGCCCCCCACTTTCACTCGCCCCCTCCGCTCCCCCCTCTCCTTCTTGT